TGCAAGCTCAAACGAATTTTTTTCGTTCTATATCGGAAAATATTAAGTTTTTTAAGTTGTATAATATGATTATAATAATGTACCTAACATAAAAAAAAAATATCGTTTGTTTATATTTAATCGATATAATTAATAACTATTTATTAAATTATTTGATATATTTCTAATGCAAATTCAGTTATATATTTCTTATAATCTATATTTTAACAGAACAATTACATTTGTACATTGATAAAGCGAATTACTATATGTCCCACGTGATAAAATTATAAATTATTATAATATACTAATGTACAATATATATATATATATTAAAATTAGAACAACAACAACATACATTGTCAGATTGATTCTCAGGTATTTTGTAAAAAAATCGAAAAATCAAAAAAATACATACATCATTACTGTAATGACAATACAGTAAAAAAAAAAAACAATCGTAGTTGGAGGTATTTATCTAATTATTACATATTAATTTTCACTTGCTGATTTCATTCACATTATTGTCTGTTTATCTATAGTGTTTAAATTTTTTAGTAGTATCTACTATACACCAACTTGTACCTACYAAAGTACCAACGAACTTATGTGTGACTTGTGGACTTTTTAATCATTTTTCCAAAAATATTATTCCATTATCAATAATGTGCTTTTTTTGTGTTTGAATAATTGTAATAATAAATATAGTTAGCGGCAGTTTTGTTATTATTTATTTAAGTAATTATGTGTAAATAATATCTTATAATATTTTACCGCTTATTTGAGCCACAAATCCAGATAATCGAGACATTTTCATCCAATTTTATATAGCATATACATTATACCTATCCTTTTTTATGGCAAAAGTTTTTTTTTAATAATATAAAAAATAAAACAAAATTAAAAAATATTTTATGGAGTATGTACATATTTTTATAAATTATTAGTCTAGGTATACCATAATTTTCTTGTATCAATAAATAGTTTATATAATATATATGTATAAATTAATATTTACTTTACAATAATAAAAATCAGTTTTTCAACAAATTTGTGCATTTTTTATTTGATTTATTGGGACAACCGCTTAATTGGGACGAAATAATACAAATAAATATATCACAATAAAGCAGTMGACTGTACATGAAAATAATTAAGTATTTAATTTTAAAAAATAGAAACAACCAAAAAACAAAAAAACGCAATTATTGAGTACCTATTATCTATCATTAGGAAAATAAATGTTGTTTTTTAATTACAGGGACGGACCCAGAGAAAGATAAGCCATTAGRCAATAAGGTGTGGTAAKATGGTACACAGTAAGGGTTATTTTTATGAATTTAATYGTAGGTTTTRTTTGGTTTWGTTAGGTTTTGTTGTAGTTTGGTAGGTTKTAAACCTGTAACACATTATTGTATATGTGTAGCAAAGATATGTTGCTAAAAACCCTGGGTGGTCAACCATCCAGGAGCTAGCAACTGCCGCCGGCATGTACACACCACGAAAATAAATAATAAATGTTATTCTCGGAGACAGCACATGCGGGTATCACGTCCTCTTAATATTAAACATGAACAAAATGAATAGGTAAGTWTTAATTCCTGGGATCTTCAATTATATTGTTGATTATTACCTAAAAATTTTAGGATCGTAAATAAATTTAATTTAATTTTAATTTTTCTCAAATATTCTAGCTCCTAGGTTTTGTCATAAATTCTGGATTCATATGAGGAAAATAATACGTCACTTAGCAGTTTTTTTTTTTGCATCCCTCCAATAAAATATTACTGCAGCATATAATCATTACTACAAATGTATTTTTGCTACAGTAGTTTGTGTTACACTATTAGTACCAACACTACGAATACTAATTATGCTTGGCGTTTTTATATTGTTTTTAGGGGTTATTATGAGTTATTATGGTAAAAACATTTTTGATTGTCTATTATCAAATTTTATTTTGAAACACTAATAAACCTTTACATATCATTCATATCATAATTTAATTAATTATATGGCTTACTAATTTGATTCTATTTTAGTTATTTAAATTATGTATAAACATTATAATAAAATATTCACGTTACTTAAATTAAATAATTTATTATTTAACAATAATACACCTGAATACCATTTAATTATTAAAATGTGGAGGTTTATCAATGACTACCACTCCAGCATAACTTCGGCCAATATTCATAGAGGCTGATAACATGGACCATGTATTGGTGTTGGGGTTGTAAATTTCTATGGAAGCTAAATTGGAAGCTCCATCATCACCGCCCACAACATACAATAATCCGTCTAATGCAACTACTCCTATATTAGAACATAATTTTAATTTAATTTATTTCTTAAAAAAAAGGTATTCACAGGATGATTAAAAATTTTTAAACTTACCAGCATTTCTTCGACACATATGCATATCAGCAATAGAAGTCCAAACTCCAGTACTTGGTCTATAGGCTTCAACACTATTACGAACTTCAGGTCCATCATGACCACCGACAGCATACATTACACCGTCTAAGACTCCAACACCAGCACCACTGCGACGTACACACATTTCTGCAACTGGTGTCCATGTATCAGTACTGGGATGATAACATTCAACAGATTTTAAACACTGCCTTGATAATCCATCATAACCTCCTACCTAAACAATTAAATTAAAATAAATATTTTGCAAATTTAAAATAGTAAAAAAATATTAATTTACAGCATATAAAAGATTATTGAGGACTCCAACGCCAACACTACTTCTTCTAGTAGACATACTAGAAACCATTCGCCATTCTTGAGTACTGCAGTCAAATACTTCTGCACTATTTAAACCACTACTACCATCAAACCCGCCAACCTAGAATTTATTACATAATTAACARTTTATAACATTAAATAATAAATATTTCAGTATAGTTAACTCACAGCATATATACAATTATCCAATACAGCTACTCCTAAAGTTCCTCGCCTAGCTAACATAGCAACTGTTGGTACCCAACAAGGTGATGGCGATGACAAATCAAGCATATCAACTGTACGAACCCTTAATGAACCATTAAAACCACCCACSGCAAATACACGACGATCTTTTAAAACAGCTAGGCCTGCTCTACAACGACGCGTACTCATTTCTGGCCCAGACTGCCATCGGTTGGTTGCTGGATCATACCATTCTACACTACGAATGGCTTTAGGCGCTTGTCCGCCAACCACTAATATTACCTGTAATGTATAAAAAGATTATAGACATATTTATTTTAGAACTGAATAAATCATTAAAAAAATTACTTTAGGTAAACCAACAGGTTGTCTAGGCTTGGTGCGAATGGTTTTTGGAATAGTACCAGGCTGTTCAGACTTGAGTAAATGAAAATTTAATGCTTCAATTATATAGTCTTTACCTAAAAATATTAGAGGTATATTAAATTATAATTTAGATTGAAGGTTAGTCTTTTTAATTGAGAAACCGAAGAAAAAAACATACATTCAAGACTATTTTTGAGAAGTGGTTCCTCTTCTACTCTCTTAAGTAGATATTCCTTTGATGCTAAAGGCAAACGAACATGCTCCATTAGCTTAGGCAAAATATCTTTTCTACYACTTGATTCATAATTTACCCAACAAATAACACATTCAAATACCTAAAAAAATGATAAAGAGTTAAATGATAAATCATAATTATATTTAAATTACACAATTTCCTTAAAACCTACTTTTTCTTCAGATGGAACAGTGAGTTCATCACTGGAGATTAACTTAATTACTTGTTCAGATGATAAGGATAGGAACTCGTCACCTTCAACCACTTCTCTAAAAATCAAAATATAATAATAATATATACAATTTAAATACATTTTCATACAAATAAATAATATAACATACGAAAAGTGTTGTTGAATATATGATTCAGAACTAGACAATAGTTCCATACAGCCATGTAAATCAGCAAATGCCTTAATACCAAGACAATTTGTAGGGTGCAGTTGTGATTGTAAAAAATCACAACATGCATCTTGTACATCGTGTAACTGTAAGAGATTTGCAGCTGGTAACAAAACCTTAAAATAAAATGATAAATCAAAAATAGTGCATTTAAACTAACTTTCAAACAGTCTATAAAAAAATTAATATGATTTATACCTGCACATTTTCTTCACTGACCATTATTTGGGCAGTATAAATAAAATCTACAAGAAGTTTTAATGCTGTAGAATCCAATTCTCTAATAATTACATGATCCTTATTGCTCTCTTCAAAACTCGTAAACATGGCATGGAAATAAGGGCTAGCAGATGCTAAAACAACTTTGTGTCCAAATACTACTGTATTATCATCCGTTTCTAATTTAATATCACAAAAAACCTCATCTCTACAGCAAAAATATTATGTTACTACAATTTATGATACAAATTATTTAAATTTCTGGAGATTTAAATTTRAAACTTCTCATGACAATACAACATACCTGCGCAAAGATTGTAAAACTTCAAATGCACGAACTGTATGAGAGCTATTTCTATAGGGAGTTCGTTCACGTCTCCCTGACCTTGGTACTTGTTTTTGAGAACTCTCATCCAATGAATTCTGACTAGCATATCGTAATAACAAACCTACTCCTCTGTACATAATTATTAAAATATGATATTAAGAAATAAGAATTAAGAAAAAGTAGCACAGATCATTTTAAGACTTACCCTGTTAAAACATTATCACCTTCCATATTGAAAACGACAGTTAAAACTTAAAATTAAAAAATGTTTAGTTCATTCACACATAGTTGCACAGTATGCTAAAATACAAAAGGTCATGTCATCGTTCTGTATTCAAAAATGCATTATTTTTCTGAAATCCTATACTAAATTCATTAATAAATTATAAGGTAATTAAATTAACAGCTATAAAAACTATGAAATGACAAATAATAATTAACAGGTAAATATACCATTTGAATAAATAATTATTATGAATTGAGAAATGAGATTCCTATCCTCTACTGAGTAGCAAGCACCAGTAGTCAGTAGTTTTTCGAATTTATGTTATCAATGATGACTGATAAGAATATCAAAAAAATATTGATCRATCATCGCAGTATGGCACATTATTATGGCTTATTAAAATTATAACACAATAACACATGATGGCCATGACCTGCACAATAATACATATATGTTCTAGCAAAATATAAGACAAGGATGAAGGACCATAAATTCATAACTAAATACATTTATATACCTACCTATTCAATATTTATATTAMYAATATATTTAGTCATGGTATCTGGCAAGGATAACGTCATGACGTATTCATTGACATCATACATATTATTTATTTTCATTTTATTTGCATAACATTAATTATTACTAGTTTCAACTGTATGTTTTAAAATATAATTAACCAAAATTATCGATTTATCAAAACGTCCTTTCATAATTCCTATACTTAATAACGGTGGTAGCTCGTTATTATTAATTAATGATTATTATACATTAAGATTTTAAGGGGGCTGTTAAAAATATTCCAAAAATGAGGCCTGGGACAAAATTGTCATTCTTCTGAACGGTCTGAATGGGCCTTATTGATGAGAGAAATGGATCCCTTATGGCCAATGAATAATGATCTATTATATTTTTAATAATTAAATAGTGCATAAGCTATGTATATCTCCCCACTCTTGACAAAATCATTTGGCCGCTTCTGTTTTGATATGTGTTTCACAGATGAGTATCTGTCGTTTATTGTTGATTAGTTTGACTTTCTTCTTTTAACATTAATTCTTCGACATTTTATTGTAACTTATTCATACTAATCATACTATTAATCAAGCACTAAACAGAGTTGTATTAGTGTTATTGTTTATTTTATTTATTATTTATTTTCAAATTTAAGGAGCAATTTTAGTTTAGCAACCTACCTGATATATTCGGTTTTTTTTTTCAAAAATATGTTTAAGTGGGTTTTATAGGAGACTACAAAAAAAAGTCGGACAGACTTCGTTTTGAAGTTATCGGTGAAAAACTTCAAAAAGTAGAATTTTTTAAGACACGAATTTTTTTTAAAAATACTTCTAACTAAAAGTTAGAAATAATTATCTTCAAAATTATTTTTATAAAATTGTGTGATTTCTTACGCTCAATACATTGGTAAGATCAAAATTTATCTGACATACTTTTGAAGTTTTTGTACGTAAACAATAAAAAATCTTATTTTCGAAATTAATCCAAAGTTCCTTTGAAAACTGGTTGAAAATCAATTATTTTACAGTTCTAGGTCAAAAATATTTTAGTAAGGTCAAAATTAGTTTATTTGACATAGTTTCAGAATTAGGAATGTTCCTAATTTTTGATATTCCCCAAAATCTATATATAATACAGGTAAATATAGGTAGGTAAAATTTTTCCAAAATAGCATCATTAATACCAGAAAACACAAAGCCATATTTATTTTAATTGACGACTAGATAAAATATAAATGAATATAATATTATAATTAGACAAGATAAGATAATCATATAAATATTACTTAAATAGAAAGGTACAATTTTAAATTTTAATTAATTTGAAAAATAAAAATAGAGACGCCTCAAATGCGGTCGATCTCATTAGTTAATCACTTCAGTGTTATTCGATTGTAGGTATAGGTCTAGGTAGTAGGTACGCTTAATTAYATATACTTATTTTATATAATCTACAATTAATATTATATTATATAATTTTTATTATACATATTTACACATTTTCACTTTAAATATTTTAATGTATTAATGTCTAATCAATCTTATAATAATCCTACTACTGTTATATTAATAGAAATAGTTAATACCTATTATTAAGTTAAAATTGTAAAATATTATCGTTTCTATATAATATACCTATATCTGCAGATGTAGATGGCCTACATAGTACATATAGGCTAGGAATGTCTTATCATAATTCATAATATTAATGTATAAAAATCCTCTCWGTGTTTGAATCCGATTCTGCATTATTTTCTGTTGTTTTTGTTCTAAAATTGTTCCATTTGGATTATACAYTTGAGAGCAGTTATGCCGCAAGTTTGAAAATTTCAAGCAAAGGGTTTACAGCTGATACCAATTAACCAGAGTAAAAATGTTGTTTTTTGCTAATACATTTACGATGTACCCTACAGGGTCAATGAAGCTTTGACATAACGCATGACGCCATATTCCTTCTACATTACTATATAGTACATGTATGTGCTCCAGTTTCTGGATTTTTAAATTTTACCAAATAGTTAACACTTTAACAGTAAAATAACTTTATCGTTTATCTTTTAAAAAGTCATAGCTCTAAAAGGATTGAAGCAATTGAAATTTAAAACTGTTTAGTTAAATCGGCATAAATGCAGTTATGAGCTCCTAAGCGTTTTTTTTGGAATTTTTTTCTTCAAAATGTGTATTTTTGTATGCCTAATTTGATGGCACTCGTCGCTGCGCTACTTGACGCCGTCDCTTCGTCGAAATATCTCTCGACKTGGTATGCAAAACTATCTCAAGTAGGTAACAGAATCAATATACAATTTTAATATGTAAAAATTATAAAAAAAAATGCAAACAATGTGCGTAGTGTTTGCATATACCGCACTGGGGCCTGGGATAGGTCTTAGCCCTTAGGTATATTAAATGTCTATATAATATGACTGTTTAAACTAAATTAAGAAGCTAATCTTCTATTATGCAATTTTTCGATTTCAGCGTAGTATAATCCCATCAAATACGACTTTATCCACCTTCGGTGGAATAAGGACGCCTAATCAACAKACAAGACCTTTATTACATTTRAAATTTAATTACATTGTTATTTGCRATAAGGCCTCAGGACTGTAATATGCTTAAAAAATGGCCATTCGTTTTATGTTCAAATATTTCATAAATATCAATAATCGATGTCATTTTCACTAAATAAAACAAAATACACAAAATAGGTATTTTGTTTAACAAATTGAGTAATCGATCGTAATGACGATCACGTTCATATATAACTCATTATGCTATCGAACAAAGTAGTTCATAATAATGTAATATAATTATTTTATCTAGTCTAATTATATAATTATAATATGTATTAAATATTAATTATTTATTTATTCTTTATCTTGTTGTCAAAAAAATAATATAAATTTGTGTTTTCTTTTATTAAT